CTTTCTGAATTTTCTGTAAGGTTTTTGGGCCAATCTCCATCTGGAAATGGGCTCTCTCATCTATCTATCATTGGCCCGACGGGCCACCCCTAAGAACTTTAATCTTCCCCGATCCAGCTCAAAAAAATTAAAAGATCCGGCCCGCATGATTATCTAATTGGGATAACCTGGCTTAGGGATATGTTAACCTGAGATACCAAACACTCCTTATTACCATCCCCAAATCGGAGCTTAAACCTTAAACCCCAAATGGCGTTCGGTATCCCAAGTCCTAATCAAAGACACTTTCTCGTTTACCTCCGTTGAGCGATGCAGAGATTCTGCACGAAGCTCCGTTCCTTGGCTGCACAATCAAGCCAAACGCTCCCTTCCCTCTACGCCTCGCGTCGCCTCGTCCATTTCTCGTCTCCTGGGATCCACTTCAGTTCGAGCAAATGGAGCTTTAGGTCACTTCTCACCAATGCTGCTTCTCCTCCCCATCGCTACCCTTCAGTTGCTCTTGGATCCTTCGGCACGTCTCCGTTGTCTCCTTCTGTAAGTTTTTTTTTTTTCCTTTCCTTTTTAATGGGTGTTCAGGAAGTAATTTACCGCCATTTCTTGAATTGCTAATTTGATTTCTGGAGAAATATAAGAATATAAACAATATTGTGGCTTATTTCAGTTGAAAGATGAATTGGGTTTCTCTAATCTTTCTTTTTTTACTCAAATCTTTTTCTGCAATACCTCATTTACTGTTGTTCTTTTAGTTGGTGAATGATGTAGAATTAGAATATGGAATTGGTGATTTCATCTGATCTTTATTGAATCTCAAGTACCCTATGGTATTATCCCTTGATTTAATGATAATTGTGTGTAGTGATTGCATGTTTAATCCATTAGAGATGACGTCGAGGACAATTTTTGATTTGGGTAGCAATTAAGAATTCAATCCTATATATAATTTTTTGATTTGTTGCCCTCCATTTCAGTATCTAATTTGGAATTTTATGAGTACGGTTCTTTCCCCTTCATTTGATTTTGCAGCAGCTAAATTGGAGAATTTGGGACAGTCATTTGATAAACTCTTTGGCTTTTGGTTAGACAAATTTTGTTCTTGTTTCTAAGAGAAGCTACTTTCTTTTTATTGAATTTTAGTTGGTCCAAGTCAGGCATGTTTCATCAAGAGAGAGAGCAAAGAGGAGGAAGCCAATGACACCTCGAACATCAAAGCTTAAGAAAATTAAGATGAAGTCTTATTCGTAGGTTTATGCTGTGTGATCAATGCTTTTCCTTTTCTTGCTCCCTATTCTTCTTATTCTGAAAACCATTTTGGGGCTTACTTTGTAAATTGTTTGATTATTATGGATCAGGTCCTATAAAGACAGATTTAGAACAATGAGTGATGGGCAGATTCGTCGCTGGAGGGAGGGCAAAAACCATAATGCACACTTGAAGGTATGTCTTCTTTAGTTTATGCCAGCTATACATTCTCATGCAGTATCTTCTATATGATTTTGATGGGTGCTTAGTAACTCATGTTGCAGTTGCATTTTCGTTTAAGCAGTCTGGAGTAGTTGTCAAGTTTGCAATAGGTCACAATAGATTTGTGTATGCCTAGAAAATTTGATGGTGGGATGGTATGGTATGTCTAGTCCATGAACTGGTTTTTTACTGCATTATGTTAAGGAACAGTATCATTTGGATTTTCTGGAGGGCATTCAGTGTAGTTGGTTTCTGAATTTGAGGGCAGTTACTTTGCAGGTATATTGGGTATTAAATTTTCAGTTACAGTTTTACAGACTTACCTATTGTATTCTCCAGGGATATACTCAAGCGTTTTTTTGAATTAGAACCATTGGGGTGTTACAGATTAGTAAATGAACCTTTATGAGAATGAGAGAAGGAAAAACGAAGACAATTTACCATGTGGTAGACTGTAGACATATGTCATGGACACCTTGTTTATAGAGAAAATTTGCTGAATGCTGATGCATTGAATCTCCAATCCAAGCGCAAGTCCCACTGGGTCTGTTTTATGGTTGTTATAC